AGTAGGTTAAGTCTTTATTCATTCTTCCTTTATAGAGTCAAATGGATCTGTTAAGTTACTAATTTCCGGGAGGCTTTTTGTTTACTAAAGTAAAGGAGAATAAGAAATTAATAAATCTTAAAAGTAGTAAAGCAACAGGGTTAGATAATATTCCAGTGAGGATTCAGCTAATTTTATTACTCCTATGGTTACTCATATTATAAATCTTTCAATTTGCCAAGGAAAGGATCCTGACGAGTTAGGACAAGCAAGAGTTATTCCTCTTTTTTAAGAAAGGCAGTAGGTTTGAGTGTAATATTTATAGGCCGGTGTCAGTTTTGAATGCTTTATCAAAAGTGATGGAAAAGATTATATTTGAGCAGATTGAAGACTATCTTAAGTATAATATATTGTATGAGTTTCAGTCTGGTTTTAGGAGGAAACACTCCACTGAGACAACAATTTTATAAATAACGGATTATATAAGGAAAGAAATAGATAAAGGTAAGTTAAGTGGGATGGCACTGTTAGATTTGCAAAAAGCTTTTGAGACAGTATTCTGCTTTTAAAAGTTAAAGCAATGGGTTTTAGTAATGCAGCCTGTAAATGGATTAAGTCTTACCTTGAATATAGGTATCAAATAGTATATTTAAATGGGGTGTTTTTGACCATTTCATAGGGGGTTCCACAAGGGAGTGAACTAGGTCCATTACTTTTTTATTATTATTATTATATATTAATGATTTAAAAATGGCCAGTTCTAATGAGCTTTTCTTATATGCAGGTAATGCAGCAATAATTGTATCTCATGAGAGGAAGGAAAACATTGAAAATATATTAAGTAGAGAGATTGAAGGGGTCTCCAAATGGTTTTGCCATAATAAGCTGTCTTTAGATTTGGGAAAAACTGAAGTTATATAATTTAGCTTGGCTGTTAAATTGAAAAAAAAAAAATGCTCTAGATTAGAGGTTAAAGTTGAAGATCAAATTATTATACATAAACAAGAACTAAAATATCTGGGTTGTGTTTTGGACAGTAACCTGGCAGGAGAAAAGATGGCTGCTTTAGCTCATTCAAAAATGTGTAATCGAACAAAAATTTTAGCAAGACATCCACTGCTGCATTTCCAAAATAAACATTACAAGGAAATCGTTTTTTTAAAAGTCGAAAAAAAAGGGTAACTTTTCTTAAACTGATGATGGTGTTTAAGATAATAAAGGGTTCCAACTTCAAAGTTGTCTGTTAGAATATTATGTACTTGTAAGAGAGGTTCATTGTCATTCTACAAGGGCAAGTGATTTATCCTTGTAGGTTCAAGAGTGTAATGGGTAAAAATTATTTTACTATCTCTGCTGCTTGGAATAAATTACCTGGGTGTATTAAACATACAAGTTGATAGTATTTTTAGAAGGGACGTTAAAAATTGTTTTTTTCCATTGATCTATAGATGTTTGCTTGGTGAGTTTCTGAACTTGATGTTGATTGCACTCAGTTTATGATTTGCTCATCCACTTTTTAAATACTGAGGACCACAATGGAAATAAGCCTATGGCTTTTTTCTGAATATTATCCTCGACAGTTTTGAAATGTGTATGAATTAGTCTTTATGGGCTTTTTTTGTATTATGTTTTTTACATTTTGTCAAATAAAACAAACAAACAAACAAACAAATTCATTTTGCAATAAAACTGCAAGTGGAATTTGTTACTGCCGGCAGGACTTCTCTTCGCAAATATTTGTTTATTTTTATAGACAATACCATTAAAAGTTGGGGGTTGTTGTTTTTTTTTTTTTTAACGAAGCCTCTTATTCTCACCAAGAATTTGATCAAAAATACAGCAAGTCAGTAGATCAATAAATTATGTTTAAATTTAGATTGTTTAAATATAATACAAGTTCAAGTAACTATTTTATATTTGAATATTTTTAAAACATAATTTATACCTGTGATGGCAAGGCTGAATTTTCAGCAGCCATTACTCCAGTCTTCAGTGTCACATGATTTTTTAGAAATCATTCTGATATGCTGATTTGAAGCATGAAACATTTCTTATTAATATTTGTTGAAAACAGTTGTACTTTTTAATATTTTTGTCAAAACTGTGACACTTTTTTCAGGATTCTTTGATGAATAGAAAGTTTGAAAGAACAGCATTTATTTGAAAATATTTTTTTTGTCATTTACATTTTTTTGTAACATTTATAATGTCTTTACTGTCACTTTTGAGCAATGCAATGCATACTTGCTAAGTAAAACTATTAATTTTTATTTAAAAAAAAGACTTATTGACCCCAAACCTTTGACCAATAGTATATATGATTAATATTTATTATTGATTTTTTTTTTTTTATTATTAATTTTCGCTAGTTTGTAGTATTTTAATGACAGGTTAAATACTCTTATAGGGTTGTAGGGTTTTTTTTAAGTCTATATTTGGTCACAATTTTTCTTTATGGAAAAGAGCTGTAAGAAGATTCTCTAAAATATCTCTTTTTTTGTTTCACAGGAGAGACAAAGTCATAGTAAATAATGGCATTTAAATAAATTATTAATGATGTAACGAAATAAATTAGCAAAAAAAAATTAAAAATCACATGCGTGTATTATATACATAATAGCTGTCTCCATGATGGTATTTTTTAATAGAAGTGTGGCTCACCTTAAAGTAGTGGTTAGTGTAAAAGCTGTGTTCTTTGTGTTGTTGCAAACCCCAGAATTTGCACCGATTTTGAAGGCCAAAGAGTCTGGAGGAGGTGGGATATTGTAGTGCAAGGCAAACTGAGAGCCTTGAAAAAAAACAACAACACAGAATGATGTCAAAGACGAGGTGATTTATATAACTTATATACACTTAAATAGTCATAATGCAGTATACTCATCCTTATGTAATTCCAAATCCTTCCTTCTGTGATCCATTGAAGAAAGTAAGTCATACAGGTTTGGAATGATATACAGGTGAGTAAATAATGAAAACTTTCATTTCTAGATGAACTACTCCTTGGATTTCTCAATATGTGCATCAAAAGAGGTGCACAGACCTGCACAAACACACAGCCTTTGCCTTCTGTCCTCAGCTTGTATGTGCCAGTAGCTTCCTGCAGCTGTTTCTCCTGGTAAAGCAGCCGGTTGTTCCGGTTCACAGTGAACTGGTTCCTCTGGCCTGAGGGGGAGGTCACGGTTACGGTAATGGATCCTTCTGGATTGTAAGTGGCAGCACTGTACTTAGCGAGGGCCTGGAGTGCCACAACAGTATCCTGTTCACAGAGAGAGAGGGATGACACGACTTACAGTCAATAATGATAAAACATATTATAAAGACAGAAAGGGGTCTAAAAAAAGCTGCATGAGATAAATAACACCTGTGTAGAGGAGAAGCCTCCATACGCGTTCTGCTTCTTGGTTAACCAGTGCACTATGCCAGCAGAGTAGTTCAGTCCAAATCCAGGGAGTGTGGGTCCTGAGAGCAGCGCCAGCAACACATAGGCACTCATCTCTACCTCCACAGACCCCATCGGTTGTGCATTATCAGCCAGAGTCCAATATCGTCCAACACCTGAAATAACCAGGGCAAGAAAACTGGAACATTGAAGGATGGTGATTGTTTTTTTTATTAAAAGCAGCAGGATAATACTAGATCAGAGGTTTTCAAACTGTGGTCCAGAGAAATTGGTACTGGGGGAACACACACACAAAAAAAATGTAGAGAAAAAATATAAACAAACAATAACAAAAGAAAAAAATTGTTTAAAAAGTTAACGTACTTAATTTGATTTGCAGTCTGTTTTTTTTTTTATTTTTATGAAATAGTATTTTTATATTTCTTGAATTTTTTTTCTGGGTTTTCTCCTCTGCAGCACAGTAACTATACAGTAGTTTATGCCTTATTGTCTTTCTTTTTGAGGAGTTTCTAGTTTCTAGCAACAAACACTATACTACGGAGTCCTACACATGACATGCGGAGAAAAAAACAAGATATTATGGCTGTGAATTAAGAATTTATTTCCTCGGTTAACATAAATTGTGCCCACAATATAACTAAAACATAACATGGGAACTAATTAGCCACAATTTAACTAAAACAAAGGAAGAGTAAATAATATGTTGCCACAAATGAATAAGTTGTGGGAACAAATTCTTAATTCATGGTCACAATATCTATTTCTTCTTCAGCTGACATGTGTGGGGCTCCGTGCTATAGAAGTAAATTCTGAATTGAATTGAAAATTGAATTAATTTAAGTAACTTATTTAATTAAAAGCCAATTATTCAATTTAGCAAACACAAAATAGAAAGGTCTTTATGAATAAAAACTATTGGAGCCTTTTTATTTAATATATAGTCATGTAATGTATATGAATAAAAAAGAAACAAAATCCTTAAAGATAAGTATTTTAGTATCGTTATTTGTCTTATTTAATTTAAAGCTGAATAGTACCTTCTCTCTTGGCCTGCTGGTCCAGGTTGGAGAGGAGGTTCTGTCTCATCTGTTCATCTCCAGCAAGAGTGAATGTGTAGGACAGCAAGGTGGTCACAAAAGTGTTGGTAATGTTACGGGAAGCCTCCATAAGACATTCAAGGCTTTTCACTACCATCCTTACAAAGCACACAAAAGACTTAAGAAAGTGAAAAGAAGAAAGTGAAGTGACATGTGGCCAAGTATGGTTACCCATACTAGGAATTAGTGCTCTGCATTTAACCCATCCTAAGTGCACACACAGCAGTGAAACATATGGATGTTTATGTGAGACGACAACAGGGGATGGACTTTTCCACTGGAGGAAGTGTTATTTTGGATTAAGGACTTTTATTTTGGCCAGAAGCGACAATATAAAGTTAAAATGCCTTGATGGAATTGTTTCTTACAAACACGCACCTTTTCACTTCACAAAATGTTACCTGATGGACTGAAGTCGTGTGGATTACTTGTGGATTATTGATGTTTTTATCAGCTGTTTGGACTCTCATTCTGACGGCACCCATTCACTGCAGAGGATCCACTGGTGAGCAAGTGATGTAGTGCTAAATTTCTCCAAACTGATTCTGATTAAGAAAAACACATCTACATCTGGGTTTGCCTGAGAATGAGTACATTTTCAGTCAGTTCCCTTTTTTTTTGGTGAGATATTTAAGTAAACAGTGTCAGTTTGTCTCTTTTATTGTCAAAATATCAGTGACCGTCCCAAAAGCGTTTTGAACCCCTCAAGGTATTTGAATAAATCATTTACACTATCCAAATAGAAAATGACATGATCCTCATCCAGATCCAGACACTTGATTGTGGGGTCTTCCCTCAGCTGTGGAGACAGAGGAGTGAGTGAGAACGAATCAAACCCTGGCTACACAACTTGGTATTAAAAGAGGACCAGAGCCCTTCAAGTGTTACTCACAGCCTGCAGAGACGTCTCATCTGGCTTAAACCCCGACAGCAGCCTAACGTTAATGATCACCATGTTGGTCTCCGCTCGTGTGCCACTATACCTGTCATATAATCATTCCAACAATCACAAACAGGGTTCACAACCACACCTTGTTCATTGTATGTAATCTGACAGACAGCAAATGGTCTATTAGGCCATAAAGTAGGTTAAGTCTTTATTCATTCTTCCTTTATAGAGTCAAATGGATCTGTTAAGTTACTAATTTCCGGGAGGCTTTTTGTTTACTAAAGTAAAGGAGAATAAGAAATTAATAAATCTTAAAAGTAGTAAAGCAACAGGGTTAGATAATATTCCAGTGAGGATTCAGCTAATTTTATTACTCCTATGGTTACTCATATTATAAATCTTTCAATTTGCCAAGGAAAGGATCCTGACGAGTTAGGACAAGCAAGAGTTATTCCTCTTTTTTAAGAAAGGCAGTAGGTTTGAGTGTAATATTTATAGGCCGGTGTCAGTTTTGAATGCTTTATCAAAAGTGATGGAAAAGATTATATTTGAGCAGATTGAAGACTATCTTAAGTATAATATATTGTATGAGTTTCAGTCTGGTTTTAGGAGGAAACACTCCACTGAGACAACAATTTTATAAATAACGGATTATATAAGGAAAGAAATAGATAAAGGTAAGTTAAGTGGGATGGCACTGTTAGATTTGCAAAAAGCTTTTGAGACAGTATTCTGCTTTTAAAAGTTAAAGCAATGGGTTTTAGTAATGCAGCCTGTAAATGGATTAAGTCTTACCTTGAATATAGGTATCAAATAGTATATTTAAATGGGGTGTTTTTGACCATTTCATAGGGGGTTCCACAAGGGAGTGAACTAGGTCCATTACTTTTTTATTATTATTATTATATATTAATGATTTAAAAATGGCCAGTTCTAATGAGCTTTTCTTATATGCAGGTAATGCAGCAATAATTGTATCTCATGAGAGGAAGGAAAACATTGAAAATATATTAAGTAGAGAGATTGAAGGGGTCTCCAAATGGTTTTGCCATAATAAGCTGTCTTTAGATTTGGGAAAAACTGAAGTTATATAATTTAGCTTGGCTGTTAAATTGAAAAAAAAAAAATGCTCTAGATTAGAGGTTAAAGTTGAAGATCAAATTATTATACATAAACAAGAACTAAAATATCTGGGTTGTGTTTTGGACAGTAACCTGGCAGGAGAAAAGATGGCTGCTTTAGCTCATTCAAAAATGTGTAATCGAACAAAAATTTTAGCAAGACATCCACTGCTGCATTTCCAAAATAAACATTACAAGGAAATCGTTTTTTTAAAAGTCGAAAAAAAAGGGTAACTTTTCTTAAACTGATGATGGTGTTTAAGATAATAAAGGGTTCCAACTTCAAAGTTGTCTGTTAGAATATTATGTACTTGTAAGAGAGGTTCATTGTCATTCTACAAGGGCAAGTGATTTATCCTTGTAGGTTCAAGAGTGTAATGGGTAAAAATTATTTTACTATCTCTGCTGCTTGGAATAAATTACCTGGGTGTATTAAACATACAAGTTGATAGTATTTTTAGAAGGGACGTTAAAAATTGTTTTTTTCCATTGATCTATAGATGTTTGCTTGGTGAGTTTCTGAACTTGATGTTGATTGCACTCAGTTTATGATTTGCTCATCCACTTTTTAAATACTGAGGACCACAATGGAAATAAGCCTATGGCTTTTTTCTGAATATTATCCTCGACAGTTTTGAAATGTGTATGAATTAGTCTTTATGGGCTTTTTTTGTATTATGTTTTTTACATTTTGTCAAATAAAACAAACAAACAAACAAACAAATTCATTTTGCAATAAAACTGCAAGTGGAATTTGTTACTGCCGGCAGGACTTCTCTTCGCAAATATTTGTTTATTTTTATAGACAATACCATTAAAAGTTGGGGGTTGTTGTTTTTTTTTTTTTTAACGAAGCCTCTTATTCTCACCAAGAATTTGATCAAAAATACAGCAAGTCAGTAGATCAATAAATTATGTTTAAATTTAGATTGTTTAAATATAATACAAGTTCAAGTAACTATTTTATATTTGAATATTTTTAAAACATAATTTATACCTGTGATGGCAAGGCTGAATTTTCAGCAGCCATTACTCCAGTCTTCAGTGTCACATGATTTTTTAGAAATCATTCTGATATGCTGATTTGAAGCATGAAACATTTCTTATTAATATTTGTTGAAAACAGTTGTACTTTTTAATATTTTTGTCAAAACTGTGACACTTTTTTCAGGATTCTTTGATGAATAGAAAGTTTGAAAGAACAGCATTTATTTGAAAATATTTTTTTTGTCATTTACATTTTTTTGTAACATTTATAATGTCTTTACTGTCACTTTTGAGCAATGCAATGCATACTTGCTAAGTAAAACTATTAATTTTTATTTAAAAAAAAGACTTATTGACCCCAAACCTTTGACCAATAGTATATATGATTAATATTTATTATTGATTTTTTTTTTTTTATTATTAATTTTCGCTAGTTTGTAGTATTTTAATGACAGGTTAAATACTCTTATAGGGTTGTAGGGTTTTTTTTAAGTCTATATTTGGTCACAATTTTTCTTTATGGAAAAGAGCTGTAAGAAGATTCTCTAAAATATCTCTTTTTTTGTTTCACAGGAGAGACAAAGTCATAGTAAATAATGGCATTTAAATAAATTATTAATGATGTAACGAAATAAATTAGCAAAAAAAAATTAAAAATCACATGCGTGTATTATATACATAATAGCTGTCTCCATGATGGTATTTTTTAATAGAAGTGTGGCTCACCTTAAAGTAGTGGTTAGTGTAAAAGCTGTGTTCTTTGTGTTGTTGCAAACCCCAGAATTTGCACCGATTTTGAAGGCCAAAGAGTCTGGAGGAGGTGGGATATTGTAGTGCAAGGCAAACTGAGAGCCTTGAAAAAAAACAACAACACAGAATGATGTCAAAGACGAGGTGATTTATATAACTTATATACACTTAAATAGTCATAATGCAGTATACTCATCCTTATGTAATTCCAAATCCTTCCTTCTGTGATCCATTGAAGAAAGTAAGTCATACAGGTTTGGAATGATATACAGGTGAGTAAATAATGAAAACTTTCATTTCTAGATGAACTACTCCTTGGATTTCTCAATATGTGCATCAAAAGAGGTGCACAGACCTGCACAAACACACAGCCTTTGCCTTCTGCCCTCAGCTTGTATGTGCCAGTAGCTTCCTGCAGCTGTTTCTCCTGGTAAAGCAGCCGGTTGTTCCGGTTCACAGTGAACTGGTTCCTCTGGCCTGAGGGGGAGGTCACGGTTACGGTAATGGATCCTTCTGGATTGTAAGTGGCAGCACTGTACTTAGCGAGGGCCTGGAGTGCCACAACAGTATCCTGTTCACAGAGAGAGAGGGATGACACGACTTACAGTCAATAATGATAAAACATATTATAAAGACAGAAAGGGGTCTAAAAAAAGCTGCATGAGATAAATAACACCTGTGTAGAGGAGAAGCCTCCATACGCGTTCTGCTTCTTGGTTAACCAGTGCACTATGCCAGCAGAGTAGTTCAGTCCAAATCCAGGGAGTGTGGGTCCTGAGAGCAGCGCCAGCAACACATAGGCACTCATCTCTACCTCCACAGAGCCCCATGGTTGCACACTATTATCCAGAGTCCAGTATCGTCCAACACCTAAAATAATCAGGGCAAGAAAACTGGAATATTGAAGGCTGGTGATTGTGATTTTTATTAAAAGCAGCAGGATAATACTAGATCAGAGGTTTTCAAACTGTGGTCCAGAGAAATTGGTACTGGGGGAACACACACACAAAAAAAATGTAGAGAAAAAATATAAACAAACAATAACAAAAGAAAAAAATTGTTTAAAAAGTTAACGTACTTAATTTGATTTGCAGTCTGTTTTTTTTTTTATTTTTATGAAATAGTATTTTTATATTTCTTGAATTTTTTTTCTGGGTTTTCTCCTCTGCAGCACAGTAACTATACAGTAGTTTATGCCTTATTGTCTTTCTTTTTGAGGAGTTTCTAGTTTCTAGCAACAAACACTATACTACGGAGTCCTACACATGACATGCGGAGAAAAAAACAAGATATTATGGCTGTGAATTAAGAATTTATTTCCTCGGTTAACATAAATTGTGCCCACAATATAACTAAAACATAACATGGGAACTAATTAGCCACAATTTAACTAAAACAAAGGAAGAGTAAATAATATGTTGCCACAAATGAATAAGTTGTGGGAACAAATTCTTAATTCATGGTCACAATATCTATTTCTTCTTCAGCTGACATGTGTGGGGCTCCGTGCTATAGAAGTAAATTCTGAATTGAATTGAAAATTGAATTAATTTAAGTAACTTATTTAATTAAAAGCCAATTATTCAATTTAGCAAACACAAAATAGAAAGGTCTTTATGAATAAAAACTATTGGAGCCTTTTTATTTAATATATAGTCATGTAATGTATATGAATAAAAAAGAAACAAAATCCTTAAAGATAAGTATTTTAGTATCGTTATTTGTCTTATTTAATTTAAAGCTGAATAGTACCTTCTCTCTTGGCCTGCTGGTCCAGGTTGGAGAGGAGGTTCTGTCTCATCTGTTCATCTCCAGCAAGAGTGAATGTGTAGGACAGCAAGGTGGTCACAAAAGTGTTGGTAATGTTACGGGAAGCCTCCATAAGACATTCAAGGCTTTTCACTACCATCCTTACAAAGCACACAAAAGACTTAAGAAAGTGAAAAGAAGAAAGTGAAGTGACATGTGGCCAAGTATGGTTACCCATACTAGGAATTAGTGCTCTGCATTTAACCCATCCTAAGTGCACACACAGCAGTGAACACACACACACCGTGAACACACACCCGGAGCAGTGGGCAGCCATTTATGCTGCGGCGCCCGGGGAGCAGTTGGGGGTTCGGTGCCTTGCTCAAGGGCACCTCAGTCGTGGTATTGAAGGTGGAAAAGAGCGCAGGTTATTCACTCCCCCCCACCTACAATTCCTGCCGGACCGGAAACTCGAACTCGCAACCTTTGGGTTACAAGTCTGACTCTCTAACCATTAGGCCACGACTTCCCCACTTTAATTAGTCATATAGAGTCCACCTCTTAGGAGCCATAAAGAGGGTTTTACTCACAGAGTTCTGGACACCTAACTCAAGCAGTGCTGCGGTGATGTATGCAGAGGGACTTCATCATCGACACCACCCTGGGAAAGCAGAAGCAGGGCAAAAACACATTTAGACATGCAAGAGTGCATCATCAAAGATCATTCCCACCCTCAGAATTTCAATCTCCTCACTTTATTGGCATCTAACAGACATTTCCAAAGTGTGAAATCCAGGACCACCAGACTAAGGAGCAGTTTCCTATCCATAAATGACTCTCCTCGAGTCATCTCCTCATCCCACTCAACGCTGTAACAGCTTCTCATATGTGCTCTTCTCATTTCGTGTCATCTCAATTTTTCCAGTGGCATGAGTTTCTGGGTCCCTTGAACTATTGCCTTAGACCCCCTTTTGCTATTTATTTCTATATTCTATACAGTATGTAGCTCTAAGCATTACTTTAATGTGTTCTTTCCTAAGCATCAAGAGATTTAACTGTATACAGTGTACTGCAGAGCACTCTTAGTGATTACTATTTATTTTTTTTTTTTACATCTAAATATACTAAAAACAAGATACATTTTCAGTTTTCTAATAATATATCAAATGTTTGGGATTGGGAAGATGTGTTAATTGTTTTGAAAGCAGTCTTCTATGCTTACCAAGGCTGTATTAATTAAAAACTATTAATTATTATTACAATTACTGTTTTTTCTTAATTTAATACAGTATATTGTAATTTATTCCTTTGATGGCAAAGCTGAATTTTCAGCAGCCATTACTCCAGTGTCCACTACTCCAGTGTCACATGATTCTTCAGAAATATGCCGATTTGCTGCTCAAGACACATGTATTATTAAAAATAATGATGAAAACAGTTGTGCTGCTTAATATTTTTGTGGAAACTGTGACAATGTTTTCAGGATTCTTTAAAGTAACAAAGTTTACTTTAACAGCATTTATTTAATCACTATTTTTTATGTTTTTGTAACATTATTAATGTCTTTACTGTCACTTGCAATTTAATGCACCCCTGCTGAATAAAAGTATACATTTATTTTTTTTAAAGTAATGAACCCCAAACTTTATTTGGGGTTCATTAAGCATAAACTTCATTAAATCCTTGAAACAATTTTGCCAGTGAGGTAAAGTAAATAAATTATATATTTATGTCTTGTTTTATGGATGCTAAGATATTTCAAATGCACAACTATTAATATTACTTTTTTATGTTAGAGGGAAAAAGCTACAGTATAATCGTGTATATCTTGAGTACTAGCCCTCAAGAATTAAGCCTGAACCAGTGAAATCTATAAACAACACTCTCACAAATCAACACACACACTCTTATTGTATAATACATTATCCCACAATAAGCCTCTCTTGCAAACTGAACGCAAAAGAAAACCCCTGAAGATACCAAAGTTCAGTCCATGTGCGCTGTCAGATAGTCTTCAGCTGGTCTTTCAGTCTGGCAAGTTGACTCCCCTAAACCAGCAAACCAGACCAGACTGACCAGTTTGGGAGACCAGCTAGACCAGATGAAACCACATTAAATCAGGATCTAAGAGGATCTTAACCTTCAACATGTTGTTGAAGTGTTTCCCCACAGAGGCGAAGCAGCCATTCTTCTGCTGTTGTTGACCCAGCCATTCGTTTGCCTGATCAATATTAGCCTGATCTATAAATGTATACTTCTTTGCCCCACCGAAAGACTTCGTCACAAATGCAGTTAACCTGAACACACAAGCAATATATATTGCGGTCAAATACTCATGATTCAGTAAATTTGCCTTGATACATTTCAGTAAGTCCATGTGGATTTATTGAATATCTCTAGCAGCCTATTTCAAAAACAGCATGTGAATAGACTGGCATTAAACCTATATACCAGAATCCACACAGTAACACATAACGTAAGATAAGGGATGAATGCTTTCATTGTCTCTGTACCAGACTCACCAGGTGTTACCAGAAGGATTTTCTCCCAAAAGCACTGTAAGCTCGGTTTTTAATCTCAGGAGTGAGCTGCCCGCTGCTCTCCAGGTATTGAAGGATGTAGATATTGGGGGCAAAAAGCAGCATGTTCTGCTCTCCACAACCGTACGGCATAGCCAACAGATCACCAACGTTCCTCAGAGCACTACTCATCAGATCACCTGTGGACCAAAAAGCAATATAACCGTCAGTATGATTAAAAACTGAAAACTACTCAATGAGAGCAATTCTATTGATTACAGAGTATTTCAAACATTTATACTAATATTATGGAGAAATTTGCCAGCATATTTTTAGACACCCAGAACAGTGCTAAAGATTTTGGCAGAACCTTTGACAAACACTGTGGGTAGAGTGAGAGAAACGGATGTTTCTTGTGGACGGTCTAATAGAATAGAGAAAAAATGTCAGGTTCAAATCATGCTGTACTTTACCATAGACAATCATTTTCTTCATCTGTGTAAAAAAAAAAACTACACAGGGTTTAAAAGCTGGAATAGGAAGCTTTTGTTAAAGCCTTTTTGAAATGTTGAGTATTTTAGCATTTGTCCAGTGCCATGGATTTATCCACTTCCAGTCTAAATGCATTACTGTAAACAGGAGTTTTGCTTATTTTTACACATTGAAAGTCAAAATTATTATGTGTGGAATGTGGTAAAGCATGTTAACTTCTGTTTCAGCTGGAATGATTCAAATTCTTTATTCCTCTTTTACAGTAATAGACAACACAACACACTGTAATGCCACTAACCTGTTAAGCAGATTAGTTTATTCTGAGTGATTGACTGTTTGGTTCCTTCTGCCTGAAAAATACAAGTAATAACAGTGTCAATTTTATCTTTAAAGCAAAGCCAAACAAGATAGATAGATAGATAGATAGATAGATAGATAGATAGATAGATAGATAGATAGATAGATAGATAGATAGAACTTAGTATGAGCAATAAATCACTCTTAATTAATGTGAAGATTTAAAACAATACCCAAATAGCTACTGTCTAAACATACTAAGTGTTTTTTTCTTTAGAATAATGCACAGTTTCAACATAGTATGACCAGAAATATGTATTATGAAAGTAATTATAGTACATTTTAATTTCCTGTTGACTTGTTAGCTTGTTGATGTTGAAGAGTGAGTCACATGGTTTCTGAAAGCTCACATACAGTAAAGGCACATACCTGCACCAGAACGCTGTGCATCACAGTATCAACTCTGCCTTTGTCTGGCAAAGTCACCACTTCATTTCCACACAGTTCTTGGCTCCGGACTGCCTCAGCACGCTCTGTAATGTTCACCTTTCCTGTAAAACACACACACACACCAGTACACAATGACAGTGGATTTAAGTCACAGAAGAAACAAAGTACCTCTGGGGCCTGCAATAATAAACAAATCTGTGACTGTCAAGGTAGTACATCCAAATTAAATACATAGTCCACCCAAAAATAAAATAGGAATGTATTAAGGGGATTGTTCATCCAAAAATGAAAATTCTGTCATCATTTACTCACTCCTCCATGCCATTGCAAACCTGTATGACTTTGTTTTGAGGATTAAGATATTTTCAAGAATCCTGTTTTGGCTTTCATCCACTTCCATAATGTGTTTGGTTACCAATATTCTTAAAAATATTTTTTTTGTATCAGCAGAAGACAAAAACTCATACAGGTTTGGAATGACATGAGGGTAAATGATGACATAATTTTTATTTTTGGATGAACAATCCCTATAAGAAATTTCTATTGTAAGTGTAATACCATGTCCTGCTACAAACATGATCAGATGTAAAATAAGCTTTTCAGTTTAGGGAATCAAATTGAATTAAATTTCTGTTCGTTTTTGCTCATACAGAAGTCAAAGTATCTGGCTTACCCAGGACAGAGGGTGAAACAATCCACTGGAAGGTTTGGCTCTCTTCGGAGCAAACACACTGAGTGCAAGTGCAGCCTTTGCATGGCTGAGCTGTGAACTGCGCTGAGTTTACCAGCGTGACCTTCACCTTTTTGAAAAAGTACAGCACATGCGCAGAGATCTCGTCCACTGATCCCATCACACAAGAGCACACTTTTATGCACCTCTGCCTCCTCCCTGCCCTACCACACCAAGGCATGGAAAGTTGATATGAAAACTGGTATGAGGAGGAGTATGATACATTGCGATCGACATATTTCCTCTTGTGTTGTGTAACAAGTGGACAGTAATTCATTTAAGTCAATGAAGCTGCAAAAAGGCTAAATGAGTTTAAGGTTTTTTTTTTTTGGAAAGATTACTTTGACAAACAAGTGGTATTGATCATTCGAGTTGTGTGAGACTTGGGAATTTTATGCATTGCAAACAATAAAATAAAATAAAATAACATACACACACACACACACACACACGAGCAAACAATAGAAAAAAAAAAATAAATAAAATGTTTATTTATTTATTCCAGGCAGTCATTGTTTATTTTAATGACTGTTAACCCTTGTTCCTCAAGCATCTTAAACTATTAAAATCCACCATTAAAATATTCTTATATATCTATGATAAACTTGAAAAAAATAAAAATAATACAGTGCTTATGAAATTGAACTAAATTAAATAAAAAACAATTAATTA